ATTAACAGCTAATGCGACCACTAAGCATCTATAAAATATTAGAATACTAGATAATATTTAAATTTGTAGTTGTTTATAATTGTAAGTGGTGGAAGCTATAAGCTGTAATCATTATAAAACCAAAGGACAAAGTTCAACTTGCAGTCAAAAGAGAAGTAATTAATTTTTTTTTCAAGTAAAGTTTCTTACGTACGTACTCATTACGGTAGTACTATAATCATGTTGAGTTATCAAAATTTCAATTGCACTGCAAAAATAATTGTGTGACACAAACTTTTTCACAATGAAAATCGCTCGCATAAACATTGGGCTGTTTGGGTTTTCATTAGATATTGTCTCCACATTCGAAGATACGTTGTGTATTATTGTTTTATTCAGCTGTCCGTTAACATTTATTCCATAAATTATGTAGTATCATGAAACCGAGTATTTTAATTTCAACACTTTATTGCGAAAAATTATTGAGTTTGACATTTGTGATCATTAACTTTTGACATTTGTGATCATTAACTTGTGACGTTTGTGATCATGAACTTGTGACATTTGTGATTATTAACTTCATGTACTGCAGTGCGCAACATGTATGAATTTCAGGAATTTTTTTTCCATTGCATTCTGTTCAATTTTCAGGATTTTTGAGCATCGTGGCTATCGACGTGTTATTATCATATTTGTCGGATTACAGTTGTCATCCTAGCACAAGTAAAAGAGTATCATTGCATACAGAATCGAATATGTCTATTACAACGAAAAAACGTTTTGTTATGAGGCAAGCAGAAAGTGAATTATTTCAACCAAAAGGAGTCGAAATTGTCGCACGTGTTTTGAAATCTCCAGGCAGAAATCTTCATGAAGTAAGTTATTAAATAGTCATATATCTATTGTGTTAGTTACAAGGTACTTCATTTACGTGGGCATGAAGCTTAATATTTTAATTAATTTGTTTATATATGCATGAATTCAAATTAATAAGTGTAGCAGAAACTTGGTCTTGGCAGAATCAGCAATCAATCTCTGTCATAGCCTCACTGACTTGAAATGATTGTTTTTTAAGTTGCAAGCTTTTTTCTTCATAATACTCTTCTTCAATTAAGTATCGTTGCTTCTCAGCTTGAATGCATCAGAGACTGTAAATTTTCTTAAAATCCAATTATGTAATCTATTTATTTTATTTTGTATTGCGTTTATTGTTAAAAAAAAGGTTTTTTACTACTTTCAAGGAATTATACTATCTGTTGCAGAGTAGCCTATATTATTTTGAAATTGCTAAGATAAGTTCTCAAATGAACATGCAGTGTTTTAGGTAGAAGATGAAAATGGCGCAATTTATTTGGTTAGTATGCCTAGGAAATTCAGAGAAACCATATATGTCAAAAAGGATAGTTTTATTTTTGTCATACCAATCGAAGAAGGGGTCAAAGTGAAAGGAGAAATCACTCAAATTTTGGATAAGGAAAGCGTTTTATATATGAGAGAGCAGAAGATTTGGCCAGCAAGGTTGATATTTTTTTTCTTGTTATCGAAATCTTTATGCTTTCTGTCTCTAAATTTTACACATTTCTAGATTTAAATGCATTGATTCTTATCAAGTTCGTAGTAAAATTGTCATTCCTAGAATTTACATGTTGTTTTTCAAAAAAATTGATTGAAATTTTTGTAATCGAATTGATTTTCTAGATTCGAAGAGTATGCTAGAAGTATAACTCGTGAAGCAAAAAGAGGGATTTCATCTGATGCTGTCAGAAAACATGATGTTATTGATGATGATATGTTACCACCCAGTGACACGGATGATAATATGGATAGTGAACAAGATTTGTGCCAAGAATCAATAAGTAATGATGAGTTGAGTTCTTCAGAAGGTATCTTAAATTAATTGCTTCGTATAGTTTGTTTGAATAATTCGGTTCAAAGTGCATTATGTTGCAGTCTAATTAAAAACATTTTTATTTTTGATAAACATTAAAAAATGCATAATTAATTGAACTGTTGTATTTTTAGATCAAGTTTAGTCTTTTGTCTCAAATCAAAAATACATTTATTTTAAAGTATTTGTTCGAAGTTTTATAAATATAATTTTCTTAATTTTAATTTCTCAGAAGATGAAGAAAATGAACAGTCAGAATCAGAAAAAAGTAGTGAAGATGAATCAGGCAGTGGTAATCTCGCATTCAAAGTATGTAATCCAAATCGAATGCGGCCTCTATAGCTTTCATCATATGATAGTTTTTATTATTCTTCGATTTTGGATTCATAGCACACATGTTTGTTTATGTTTCTAATCTTGTGTTTCTATGACCATCTAGAGCTTCAGATCTTATTTTGCTTAAATTTCATAATAGATTACTCTAAGACAAAATGTATAAGTTTGCTGCGTCATATTACAGATAGTACAAAATGGTAATACTGTGAATCCAAAATATTTATACTAATAATTTCTGTGTACTTAATGTGCTGTGTTCCGTTCATAATTGCTGATAAAATAGTTTAATATGAAAGTTGGATTAGGAGTATAGTTGTATAAATAAGAATTTGATTTGGTTTTAGTTGCCAGTTGTGCAAAGCAGTCTAATTATGTTGCAGGAACTACTGAGTATACATAGTTTTTACATTTGTCTTAAAAGATCTTTATGATCTATGGACTTTTTGAGAGTCCATCACAAAATAAGAAGAACCTTAAACTGAGAGGAGGAAGTTTATTGCAATTCTTGTTATAGATTTATTCGTGCCTACTGGGATTTGTACACAGTTGTCTGACTGAGCAATTCAGCTGTGAATTGCAAGTATCTTTTGAATAGAAATTTAAAAATTGTGAGTTTCATTAGTATACATTTTGACATATTTCACTGCGAAAATTTCCTCCTAAGTTGATCTGCTATTATCTCATGCGATCAATTGCTATCCATTTGGGATGATTAGTTTTATTTTGTTTTCAGGACAGAATATTCTGCGAGCACATTACTTTGTATATTATTATTTTACTTTCTGAAAAATATGTAAAAACTGTACAGAAGTTCACAGAAATTGAAAGTTGTTTTTAACAACACTTAATTTGCGTCAAAAAAAATTTGAGATGCTTTATTTTGAAGAGTGGAAGTATCTAAATGATAAAGCTAGAACTAGCAAATGTTATTTGGATTTATTCAAAAAGCCAAGTTATCCGAAGAATTAGCAAGTAGTTTAGTCTTGTTTGCTTTATCTTACGTTAAACTTTACAAAATTAAGTAGTTTTTTACTTTCGATTAAATCAATTGAATTTGCTGCAATTTTGATTTCGTTGCAAAGCATAAAGTCAGATTGCATGCGAAATCATGAAGTAATCATCGTAAGGAGTTTTACGACATTTATATTCATGAAAGTTTATTTTTAGAATGTGAAATTATATTTGTGCTTTGCATTGCTTCATTTGGAACCGTTAATCTTGTGAATATCGGTTCTTTACTTACTGAATTTGTCAAATATTTTATTTATTTTTTCTAATTTCTGTTCTAATTCTTTGTTATTATACACTTTGTAAAGTTATTACTTGTTAAAGTTGACTGCAGCATTACTAATTAATTTAATTAATGGATAAAAGTTAACAACAATAATTTTCGAGCAGTTTGTTTTTTGAAGAGCTGAATGAAGATTTGTATCTCAGAAATTGCTTATATTTGATAGAACACACTTATAGGTTAATCATAAATATGATTTTGAAGTTAATAATTACTAGGCAATTTAGTAGTAAGTCTTGCATTGAACTATTCTTCAATTTATTTGCCAACAAAATGATCTTACTTAATCCAAATTGTCATTTTTGTGAGATTAGCTTGCTAAAAAAGGATTAAGCAGCAAGTAAAACAACTTTAATATAAACAAAAAATTTTTTTAAAAATGTATGTAAAATTTGTATCTCAGAAAATAATAATAAAATAACGAAAATGTTGTCATTTTTTATTTTATTTACATTGTATAATGAAAATTTCTTGAATTTATTATTATTATTTTCATTCAATACACCTGCTTGTTCGTTTATATTTTAATTGTATGTAAACGTTATTTATCAGTGCTTTTGTAATGAAAACTATCAATTATTTACTAGAAGATTTTAAACTTTGAAGTTAAATAAATTTGATAATTGTGTTAATGAAAAATCTTTGCAGTGTGTAATAATTAATTATTTATGTAATAAAAGTTTATCGCTAGCAGCAGATATGCTTTTAGTGCAACTGATTAAAAATGCTAATAATGAATAGATATAGAATGAAAGTAGATATTCAAAGATATTGAAGCTATATTCAGTGATTACTTAGCTTTAAAAATTTGTGATTTTGATAAAACTATTGTCTGATTACTTGCCTAGTCATTATAATTATTACTATAAATTTCTATGTATTATATATATATAGAAATAAAAAATCACAACATTATATATATATAGAAATGACTAGGCAATCAGATAATTATCTGATTAAATATACATGTATATATATTCAAACTTCGTATTTTTAAATTGTGCTTAAAATTTTAACTGTTTTAAAAATTTCCACTTTATTATATTACTAATATCTTATTTGAATGTCTTTTTTGAAATTGTATTAACACATTTTTTTTACACTTTGTTCACTGCTAAAATGCGAAATTATCTGATTATTTATTATCTATTTATGCCAATTTGTACGCAGAATTACTTATTTCTGCTCAAGATAAGTGAGTAAGTTAGCTGAAAATGATAATAATAATAATAAGTTGGTTTGCAAAATAATAATAATAATTTACTGACAGCATTGTGAATTGTCCACAATTTTTTAATTCAGATACATACTCGAATTTGTGTAGTGTAATTTTTTGTCCACATATATATTAATACGCATAAAAGGGTAATTATTTTTGTGTACTTGTTCATTACGTTTGTTTAAGTAAAAGGTTTGTTTGCATTTGCGTGTATATTTGATCAATGAGTGCGTAATCAGGCGTGAAACACGAATATGACTGAATTGAGATGTTTTCCTAATTTCAGTGTATTTTAATTTTATTTTTCATATTCCTTCTAATCTACGTTTTCAACTTTATATTTGATTTGTTTTAGACTTTTTTAAATTATCAGTATAACATTTCCTTGTTTTCTTTAATTTCTAATAATTTTAGATTCAATATTTGTATTAATATAAGCAATTTTAAGTAGTTTTTATGTGGTAAATTGAAATATAATACTGGTAAATTAATTAGCAATTTGCAGGTTGAAATAGTTCAACAATGTGCCAGTATTTAATTTTTTTCATGTTGTAAGAATGATATATTTCTAATAATTAAGTCAAAAATCAAATTCAAACAAATTTGATAACTTCTGCTTCAAACAACAGTTGCTAATTTCAACTCTTGTTAATAATACATCGAATTCGAATTAAACAAAATTAGAAATCAAATTTGTGTCTTTCACGTAATTAATTCTTTGCTAAATAATCGTAAAATAGCAGAGTTGATGTATTTCATTCAAAATTAATTTTAAATTAAACGAAAATCGGAAAATGTTAATTTTATCTGTCGCAAAAATTTCAGGAAAACAAGTTTTGCTATACTAATCGTTTATCAAATTTTAAACATTTTTTGTAAATTGCATAAATATTAAAAATCACATCACAATTGCCTTTCATATTTAAATAGAATTATAATATAATAATCAGTTCTTCAATAAAATTCTGTACATTTATAAAAGAGCAATTTGTTAAAAGTTCTTACAATGAATTTTTATTTATTCAAATGTGATACTTCTTGCGTTTACTCGTTAATACTGCACAAAATTTGAATTTAGAAAAAATTAAATATTAAATTTTGCTTTATACGTTATTATCAGTAAGTAACATTTCATTTAACTAATCCTAAAATAACAAAATAAATTTAGTACCAAACTTAAAATCCAAAACAAAATTGGAAAACATAAACTCAAAATTTAAAATCAAATTGGAACAAGAATATTGCTAAAACAAATTGAAATACAAAAAGAATTTTTATCACATATTTTTGCATACAATTTGACAAAGTTCACCGGAAATTTTATTTTGTCAAAAACGTTTTTCTAATTGCAGTTAAGCGTATTTGCCAACTTCAGTCCACACACTGCCTTGCCTTTGCAAGACATAGCCATTCCTTGCTAAAACTTTGAACTTTGAACTCTCGTAAATAATTGCCATGAAAAAGCTTCCGAAGTATCAATCGTCTATTGATGATGATTAGACTTATCTCGATTTTGTTTTCATCCAGTTATAAAATTTCACTCATGGGATATACTCAAGCTTACGGCTAAATTAATCAAAGTTGCAACCATGCCTACTTTTGCAATACTTTAAACATTTTGACTTGTTTAGTGTTGTTTCAATTTTTTAAATTTTCGCAAGAAAACAAATATAAACTGGAAAACTAACTAACTTACTTAAATAACTTAACTAAAACTCTCTTAATTACTCTTATTAGCTTAAATACTGCTGATATTGCCTATGAATTTTAATTAATTCCCTTTTAATTTCAATCAGAAATGAATAGTCAAATTCTTTACAAATTAATAATTTAAATTTTTCTCATTAGCATTAATTATTTATATGTAATTGCATTAATTTGTTGTACAATCTAATCTTAATTAATAATCAAATAAGATTTATGTGTAAATTTAAACAGAAGAAAAATTGGCAGCTGTAAAGTAGTACTTACTTTTTCAATTTACCTTTAAGATTTTACTGATTTAATTGTAATTAAATAAAGTTTATTAAAATTTAATTTTAATTCCTATACTTTGACATTTTTGCTTAATTTCTGTAGATATAATGCAAAAGCTTTGACTTAAATTATTATTAATATAAAGTAATTAATTCAAACACAATTTAGACTCAATTTTTAGTTCTGCTTGTACAGAAAACAAATATTGAAGTAAATATTAAAATAATATCCGTAATTTTGCAATAAAGTAAAAAAATTAATCATTTCAAGTTGTTGTAAAAATAATTTAAATTATATTGCAGTAATATTTTTAGAGAAATTTAATATTTTAAAAAAGAGATTAGTCTTCGGGAAAGGCTTCGTAAGTCTTCTTACTTATTCTAAACATATAATTAAGTACTTATAACGATTTCATGTGGAATTGAAATTGAAAAAGCAGTCTTTTCTTTTCGTTAAAGTTAGATCAGAACGAATGACATTTGTATTATTGCTTAAAAATAACTGAAAAATTAATTTTTT